AGGAGGGGGGATGGAGGAAGGCAGGGGGCTGCCTCCCTATTTTATTCTGGCGAGATGGCGGGGGGCAGAGCATCGCTGGGGGGAGCCGGGCAGCCGGCCTGTGTGGGGGGGTGTGTGTGTGTGTATGTGAGGGATGTGTGTATGTGTCTGTGTCCAGGGATGTGTGTGCAGGGATGTCTGTGTGGGGCATATGTATGTGTGGATATGTGTGTGGGGGGGGATGTGTGTATATGAGGGGTGTGTGGGGGGATGTGTGTGTGTGTTGTGAGGGGTATGTGTGTGCAGGGATGTGTGTGGGGCATATGTGTGTGTGTAGGGATATGTGTGTAGGGGGATGTGTGTGTATGAGGGATGTGTGGGGGACGCGTGTATGTGTGTGTTGTGAGGGGGATGTATGTGTGCATATGTAGGGATATGTGTGTGTGGGGGGGAGGTTTGTGTGCATATGTAGGGATATGTGTGGGGGGGGAGGTTTGTGAGGCTTTGTGTGTCTGCAGAAAGAAGGCAGAAAAGGAGCAGGCTCCTAGCCCACAGCATGAGGCTGGTGGCACCCGAGGGCTGCCCACCTTCCTGAGTTGGGAGGTGGGGATCCCGTCTCAGCCTGGGGAAGGCAAGAAGGCAGTGGCCAGGAGATAGATGGTGGGTGGGTTTTTTGCCCACCCCAATACAGCTGTCCAGCCCTCCACAGGGAAAGCAGAGCAAGGAGCAAACAGGCAGCAGCTCGCTCCACAAACAGCCTTCCCTAGCTTGGGTGCACTTGTTCCAAGAGGCAGAAGCAGGAGCCTCAAGCAGTGCAAGTGCCTTGGGCTTGAAAGGGCTGTGTATGTATATATATATGTATATGTATATATATATGTGTGCGTGTGTGTATGTGCATATAGGTGTGGATGTGTAACCATTTAGCTGACACCAGTTGCTGGTTTTGCTATATTTACAGCCAGGCATTCACCCCTTTGCCCTTCATCATCATCTTGGTTATGGCACTGAGGGCTCACCTCTTTTTTTCTCTCTAGGCTTCATCCCATCCTCCACACCTCCATCCCCAGTTCAGGCCTACTGGTTTAATTTCCTAGCTCTCCCCATCTTCCCACTTGTGTTGCTCGTTTTCTTTCGGATGTGAGCTCCTGGAACCCTATAGATTACCCCCAGTGGGTGCTCAAGACTGCATCCATGTAGTAAATGACTCCCTTCGCAACCCCTATGACACTGGCAGCCTCTAGACACTTGTGGAGAGAGACTCAATTCCACATTTAGATATGGGCTTTGCCAGCAACAGCTGAAAGGGGTACTGCAACCCTCCAAAATATATGGGTAATTGAAAAAATGTTTTTAAATATAACTTCTACAGTCAGTGTTGCTGCAGTCTTTCCACAGGAAGCCTTTATTGGTACTGGCTGTGGATTATTATGTGTGTAATCACTTGTGATCACATCAGTTATGGGGATACTTGATAACAGTCACAGCTGACCACTGCTCTCCCAGGGAGCTTCTTGTAGCTGCAAACAATAAAATATCCTTTTACAGGAGATTGACTTTTCCAGTGAGTACATGCATTTTAGTCAATACTTAATCAGCACTTTTGAACTCCTAGGATTAACAGCGCATGGCTTTTTATAGTCACACGTGTGGAGACTTTGGAAGTAAACATGCACATACTTGAATGAGCCACTTTTCAGAGTGCAGAACTCTGGATGAGTAAGGCTTAAGGAAAGGTTCCTATTTTTCTGGTAACGGCCAAGCGCTGAACTGAAATGTAGCTTGGAAACCTTATTAGCTATGTATAAGATAGTGGAGGGTGTGCAGAATTTCTCTTGAAAAATACCCTCTTGTATTCATGCAGAGGTAAACAAGAGAGTTAGGAAAAAGACTGCATTTTAGAACCATACTCCTAGGGGATGTATAAAAGATCCACATAGAGGAAACGATGTGCACATCTATATGTTTATAGGTAAATATATGAATTGCATAATTTTATTCCTAAGAACAGTTCTGCAGGCTTGTACCATGGGGTGCATGTGAAATGCCTAACATAGCTGCCTCTGAACTCTATTTTGACTTCTTAGAATCTTTGTAGCCCTCTGGAAAGAGGAGAACATGGCTAAACAAACTCTGACCAACAGTGAAAATTAACTTCTTTTCTCTTTTATTAGTGGCGGCACCTGACTTGCTGGATCCCAAATCTGCCACTCAGAACTCCAAGCCCAGGCTGTCATTTTCTACAAAGCCTACAGTGCTCTCTTCGCGGGAGGAAAGTGATTCAACCATTAATGTTATGAAATGGAAGACAGTATCAACAATTTTTCTGGTAGTAGTTGTGTATTTAATAATTGGAGCTACTGTCTTTAAAGCCCTGGAGCAGCCTCATGAAACTTCTCAGAGAACCACCATTGTGATTCAGAAGCAGACGTTTGTTTCGCAGCATTCCTGTGTGAATGTATCTGAGCTTGATGAACTGATTCAGGTAATCCATGCAAAATAGTATATTGTTATCAGGTTTTAAAGGAGCTTCTTTTTTTTATATAACAGTGGTTCTATAAAAACAACAACAAAAAAGAGGGGAGGGATGCCGTTGTGCCAGCATGGGGGTTATAGTTATAACAAGAAGCCTATGTTAGGACAAAGAGATTAATACTAACATTTTTGCATGAAGCATCTTGGTTGAAAAGTCATTGTGCACTTTTTTATATTCAGTACACATTTTGGACAACCTTTTCATTGAATGCTCCTGTTGCACTAATTAAATGATTATTCAGGAGCAATAGATGTAATTTAATAATCTATAAAGGAATGGGTGTATTGATCGAGCCTTAGCTGGTTCATCAATACCAGTGGACCCTGGCAACCACCGTAGATCAACCCTTGCATTAAAAACATTCAAATTTATCATTATTGCCTTTTCCCACTCTGCATTTCTTTCTCTTGATTTTTATTTTTAATAGAATAAAATAATCTTAGTCACCTATTTCCATTATACATCTTGACTTTTTTTCAAAATTGAGGGCTATGTTTACATTGCATCCCTGTTGCTGCTGGGGTGTCTGTTCTGGAGCCAGCCCTACCCACTCCCACCTGTTTGCCTGTGCCAAACCTGGAAATGTGGCAGTGAAATTGCTCTGGGGTTATCCCTTTCAGCCGGGCTGTCCAACAGTTAACGTGTAGCCTGTGGATCCTAGTAGCCACCTCCTTCACTGCTGCAAGGAGTGAAAGGGCCTGGGAGTCTGGGAACTGCCAGTGCAGCCTGAGCAACAGGTGGCAACGTGCAGAAAACAGGGTTCATGTGCTGTTCGTACAGCTTGTGCAGTGGAAAGCTATGTGTTGCTAGTACAGTCTACATGGCAGGGAGCAGCAGGGCATGTATGGTGGGTACAGCAATGGGGGATGGGGACATGTGTGCCACTGGTGCAGTTTGCATGCTGTGGGGACCACATGCCCCAGCAGGAGCAAGGTCTGTGTACCACCAACATAGCCTGAGTAGAATGGGGGAACCTGGTGGGGTTGCCTGTGCAGTTGTGCTGAAATTGGACAGCCCTGCTTCACAGCTGGTCCAAGCACCCAGGAGACAGCCACGTCAAGAAAAGCCCTAGAGCAGTGCTCCTGGAATGACTTTGTTGCTGTGTTTCCATGTTTGGTGTGTACACACAGGAGCAGGTAGGTTAGTGTGCTCAAGAAAGGTCACCCCTGGCTATACCAGGGTTGTAGTGCAGACATATTCTTAAAGGTCATATTATCAACAGGTTTTTATCACTGTTATTCAGTTAAAGGTCACTTTATATTGGATGATAATCTGGCTCATGATACAATCACAGGAATATATCATGCATTTACATTCAGTAGCAGAAGATTGCTCTGGATGCACTTGCAGCCCTAGTCCTAAAGATTATGTTCCTCTATTGCATATTGCAAATGGCCCTTCAAGGAGACTTATCTTACTGCAGGTTTTTTAAAATGGAAGTTTGATTTACTGAGGTGGTTCCTATGGAACACAAATTTGGAATTTTAAATTAAGTTGGCAGAACTTTGGAAGTTTTTATAGTTTGTGAATTTCATTTTTTTGTCGTCGTACTCCAAAAATGGCAACCATCTAAAGTTAATGAAGCTATTCGTTTCTCCTTGTGCACTAAAACACTTCTTATTATAGAGAAAGCTGTGTTGTTGCTGTGAAGTATCTTGGTGCTGAATAAAAATGTTTCAGTACTGTCATCAACAGCATGTAGCATAACTTATTTAGGAAATATATGCATGAGATAAAGCTATGCATCAGATGCAAACTCTCAAGACCAAGGTTTAGGCCAGATTCTTAATTCATGCAAACCAGTGACTTCAGTGGAGCAATGTGAACATGAAACCTTCAAAGCTAAGGCTGCTGAGATTGATGTGCTTAGATATTTCATCATATGTGCTTCTCTATTCTAGGGCTTGCATTGGTAATAACAAAAAGTTATTAGCATCTAATGGCCAGTTGGGCTAGGTACAGATAGTCAAAAAGTCCAAGGCTGAATCGATTAAATCTTTGCAGGTTAGTTTAAGTTGTGTAGATTGAGTCGATAAGCAAGTGAACAGCCATTTACTATTGAGTTTGGAAATGCAGCCACATGCCTGCAGTGACCCAGGCCAGAAGCCAGGGGGTGCTAGAGCATACCTTCCTGCTGTGCTGGAGCAGACAGCTTGGGCCATGGCTTAGCCCACCCATTCTGTGAGGGGGGCCAGGGGTGTTGCTGGGGATGTGCAAAGCATCCTGGGATGCTGGGGGCTCTGAGTCTAACTTGAATCTGGAGGGGATCTGGGACAGAATTTCAATAAACCGATTTAACCTAAATCAGTTAGGTTTGATACTACGTCCATCCAGATTTATCTTAAACTAGTTTTGGCCATTTTGAAAGTGGTTTATATGCACTGAACTCTGTTTTGTCACAGATTTGAACCAGTTTCTGATCATTTATACTGGTTTATGTGTAATTTCTGTCCCTAGCCTTGGTGAGTCTTATGGCTAAGCTACAGATAGCCATATCAAAATTAGTCACCATTCTGGTGATCATCCTTGGCATCACCACTCTTAGAGAGACAACCTTTCCAGAACACAGCTGAAGCCAGACAGTTGTAGGAAGAGTTTTTTTCTGATTGTTGGTTGGGCAAATAGTAGACTTAATTCTCCACTACTATCCGTCTACTCACTACCCAATAAGCACTATCCGTGCTCGCTCTGTGTCTGCAGGGTGCTTATTTAGTTTCCATTTCTGTTGCATCTGATTGCCTCATAATCTCTGAGGTATTTATCCTCACAACACCCTATCACCCCCATTTTACAGAGGAAGAATGGAGGCACTGACTACATAAGGTCCAGATCCCCAAGAGATTTACATGCCTGCCTAGCTTCTATCTTGGTACCCAGTGGCTCTTGAGATCAGTGGGAGTTGGTTTCATGCTGTGGACCTAGCTCCACCAAAATCACTGGTAATATGCTGATTTACATCAGTTAAGAATATGGTCTAAATTTGTATTTTTGAGCGATTATATCTGATGCATAGCTACATATTGTGTATATATTTCTTAAAGGTGTAATCCGTTCTATGTTTGAGGCTCTGGATATAGCTGAGATCCTTATGGATTCATGTGTGATTCTTAACACAATTTTAACACAGTGTTTCTGATTGGTTTCCTAAATGACTACAACAATAACTATGAAGATAAAGTTCATGATACATAAAGAATTATCTGGAGGGTGCACTCCTGAAAATAACACACAGAGTATATTACGTAGTTGTAAGGATTAGTATTTGTAATGGAGCTTATACACTATGATAGTCTCTTTAGTCAAGTATTTATCCTGGCTCCAAATTATAGTGAAATCCATTATAAACTTTCATATTGAATTTCATGCTCCAGGACAAGGGATCAAGAAAATATCACTGCTTTTGTTCTCTACTTGCTCCTTAACAAAAAAATAAGAATTTTATTGTAAGGGAATCTGTATTACTTTCAATTTACCAATTATTCAGCATCCAGAATTTTTTTGGGTTCATTTCCTGGAAACTTGTCTTTTTACAATTTCATGGGAGTGCATGGATCTATCAGAAGTACAGAATGTGAAATATATTTCATATTTTTATACTTTGATTTAGGACATGAGAGGGACAGGTGTTATACAGTGTAGAAAATATAAAAGACTAATTAAATGGGATGCTGTCACCTTTGAGGACAGCTGAGCACCTTCTACTGCCTTAGAATGAGTTGGCAATTGATGGGTGATCAGATTAGTCTAGCAGTATCACTTCTATATTATATTGGCAGAGAGATGGTCTTAATGACCATTCCCTATCTCTTACTTTCCTGATTAAGTACTGCAAATCTTCTTCAGTGCAAATCATTCCAGTTTTCTTCTTTGTATATTGTAATAAAACACTGCCTGAAATGAATGACAATGTATGACCCTGAATGCTGATTCCAGATGCATAATTATGAAGATATTTCATAAGTGCTTTCCCTAAGTACTGTACTAAAAATATGTACAACCTTACATAGAAATGCTCTTCACCCAGAAGAGGCCAGAGTTAAAATATTGGATGCTAATGGCAATGTCATTTAAGGCCAGTCTGAAGTCCACATTGCAGGCAATATCACCTTTCTCACTCTATTCTGAACGTGGCATCATTGAAGTTGGGAATGGCACAGCAACAGGAGATGGGGTGTATGGTTAATTAGATGCTCTCAAGAAGGAGGCATGAGATCTTATTATATGTACACTGGTACTAATAGGAGGAGGCAAGAGAGTCAGAAGTGCATGTTTTGGGGCTAAAACGTAGGGTTTCAAATTTTTAGATGGAAAGGCCTTTAAAAGGGTCTCAGTAATTATAAAGAGGGAAGAAGATGAGTTTGCTAACATTAGGATGGAGATCTTGAAGAACAGAAACCTATCCTAATTATATTTTGCTCAGGTTTTGTAATAATATATTTGGAGTTTACAAACTAAGCAGCATGAAGAGAATTGGCCAGAAACTCAGCTGCTACATCTTCTTTTGGTTGAACAAGAACTCCATAAATAAATCCTACAGCATTTTTTTTATTGCTCAACCTGAGCCTGCTGTTAAGTTGGCCCTGCCACAACACAGAGAAATTATCATACAATGCAATAACAATGTAGATGTAATTTAAAGTGTGTGGGTGTTTCTTAAAGTGTGTACTTATGTAAACCCGATTCTTAGATATCCTGGGTGTGTGTACATGAGACATTTACTGTGGAGTTGCCTAATTAGCCCCAAAATAAAACATCACCATTTACACATGCGGTGCTATTAGGGCTGATTAATTAATTAACTCTTCCGTAGGACAGTACTGCCCAACACAAGTACTATCATCCAGAGGAGTTATTTATACTTCCACAATGGATGCGTAGACAGTGACGGGGCTGGCTGGAGCACGAAGGTGCACGAAGGTGTGGGGGCTGCTGGCCAGTTAGATCCCCAC